GAAATTTAATTTAAAATTATTAAGATTAAGATTAACATGTGTGGTTATTGACATGTATGGTTATTAGTTGATATGTTAATATATTTTGTCAAATTGAAATTCAAATTAGGTAATTAAATGATGGACGACCGTAGTTGGATAGATTGTCGTGTAGATGATAGTGGTTTTGTTACTGATGAATTTAAAGAGGGGGTGCAATTTTTGTGAGATTTGCATTTTCAAGATCGAAGGTAAAATAAGAGATTAAGTGTCTTTGTTCGAAATGTAAATGTAGAAAATGGAGGAATCCTAAGGTTGTCTCTGTGCATTTGTATAAGCATGGGTTTATGAATAACTATTATGCATGGTATGTTCATGGAGAGACATCTAGCAATACAGTAAGAAACTTTGAAGGGGAATTTTCTAATATGGAGTTTGTTAGAAATGAGGTAGATGCATTATACCATGAAATGGTAGTTGATGCAATGGATGCACAGTCTGAATACAATGAGGGGCCAATGGCTAAGGAGCCAAATAGTAAGGCAAGAGAATTTTATGATCTCTTGCATGCTACAGAAGTTCATATAGGTGCTGGGGGACAGGATGTTACAGTACTTTCATGGATGGTAGAAATGCTAAACATGAAAACTTTTTATAATATGAGTGTTGCTAATTGGGATATGACATTGTCATTGAGTCGAAAGTTGTTGAGTCCAGAGGACCAAGAAAAGGTGCCAAAGGATTTTTACAATGCCAAAAAAATGATAAATGTGCTTGGACTTGGGTATAAGAAAATTGATATTTGTGTCAATGATTGCTTCTTGTACTATGATGAGCAAAGTAAGAATTTAACTGCTTGTCTAGTGTGTGGAGAATCCCGTTATGAGCCGAGGAATATGTCTGCTATAAGGCAGAAAAATATTCTAAGGAAATCTGTGACACCTTCCAATTACCCCAAGATTGCAGCGACTATACATGTCAAGGAAAACAGCAGAGCACATGACATGGCATTTGAAATGTCGTGAGGCCGTGGATGAAGTTATTCATCTTGTGGGTAGTGAGGCATGGAAACACTTTGATGAAACCCACCCAACATTTGCTGATGAACCTAGAAATGTTAGACTTGGCCTCTGTACAGATGGTTTCAATTCATTTGGTTGCTCTGCAACACTTTACTCTTGTTGGCCTATTTTTCTTGCAGTGTACAACCTTCCTCCTAAATTGTGTATGAAGTCAGAGCATATATTTCTTGCCATGATAATTGCTGGACCTAAAAGTTCAGGAAAAAACATTGATGTCATACTTAGGCCATTAATTGATGAACTTAAGGAATTATGAACAAATGAGGTTGAAACTTATGATAGTTTCATATAACAGAATTTTATCATGAAAGCTGCATTGTTATGGACTATAAGTGATTTTCCAGGTTATGACATGTTATCTGGATGGAGCACACATGGGAAGTTGTCATGCTCTTATTGCATGGAGAACACTAAGGCTTTTCAACTTCAATATGGGAGGAAAACATCATTTTTTTATTGTCATCGCTAATTTCTACCTCCTAAACATCCATTTTATAGAGATAAGAAAATTTTTTATCTCAATAGAGTTGAAAAAAGCCGTCCCCCCACCGCCCCAAGACTAGATGGTACTTCGATGGAAGAAAGGGTTAATCAGTTCCCCGACATAGTCTTTGGACAGCCACTTCATAAACATTCAATTGCAGGATTTGGTTTTTTTCATAATTGGGTGAAACGAAGTATATTTTGGAAATTGCCATACTAGAAGGATTTATTGATTCGTTATAACATTGATGTTATGCATTGTGAGAAGAATTTTTTAGATAACATTAAAAATACTGTCATGGATGATAAGGGTTGTACGAAGGATAACACCAATGCTAGATTGGATTTACAACTATATTGCAATAGATCTGAATTAGAATTGATACCTCAAAATGATGGAACAACTATAAAATCCAATGCTACATATGTTCTTACTCGAGAGCAATGAGCTCTTATCTGTCAGCGGTTAAAGGAATTGAGATTCCTAAATGGGTATGCATCCAACATAGCACGATGTGTTAACATGCAGGAACTTCGATTGTTTGGGATGAAAAGCCATGATTGTCATGTATTCATGCAGCGTCTCTTGCCAATTGTTTTCCGTGATTTCCTTATAGATGAAGTTTGGGGTCCCTTAACTGAGATTAGTAACTTTTTTAGAGCTTTAATTGCTCCGATTATTCAAGTCAGTAACATGAAGATGTGGGAGGAAAAAATCGTTGAGACCATTTGCAAGCTAGAGAAAGTATTACCGCCAGCATTCTTTGACTCGGTGGAGCATTTGGCTATCTATCTACCATATGAGGCAAAAGTTGGAGGACCTGTCTAATTTTGTTGGATGTATCCTTTTGAAAAGTATATTTTTTCTAATGTATCTTTGTATCACAATAACATTTATGAGCATATTTAATAATTTAATGTTATTAATTAATTTTCTTATTTGTTTAACAGAAAAATGCATGACCTTAAGAAAACAGTGTTGAACAAAAATCATGTTGAAGCTTCGATTTGTGAGTCTAATATTCCTTCAGAAATTACCTTCTTTTTCTCGCATTATTTTGAATCTGACAGAGAGACAAGATTGAATCGTCAACCAAGAAACATGGTCGGCGTGAATGATGATATGGATAATTGTTTGTCTATCTTTAAACATCGAGGTCAACCATTAGGTGGAGAAATGTGTATGCGTGCACTGTCACCCAAAGAATTAAAGGCAGCAGAACTTTATGTTTTGCTTAATTGTGAAGAAGTTAATCCATAAATTGCATATGTTCTCTAGTTCTAACTTTCATTTGTTTAAGTTACTAGTATGTATAAATTGTTTACTCCAACTTCTTCATGTAAACTTTTTAATTATCAAGTATGTTCCGGTCTATTAGAGGATCAAATTCAAATCAAACGGCAACTTGAATTTATTCCTTGGTTTAAGATAACTGTAAGTAATTTATTTTAATAATTTTTATTATTAAGATCTCAATTTTTATATATTTTAGGATTAAATATTAAATATTTTAAAAAAAATCTAGGTGCGTAGTGGAAGATATGAGGTTAACTGGCCTAGTCAATAATGTTAAGGTATACAATGGTTATTGGGTTAATGGATTCCAGTTTCATACTATCGCATATGGACAAAATAAAAAGACCATGAATAGTGGTGTTTGTGTGAAGGGAATCACTTTCAATGATGAGTCAGATTATTATGGGAGTTTGAAGGAAATAATTGAGCTTCAATATTTTGACTCATATGTTCATCAATAAGTGATTTTGTTCAAGTGTGAGTGGTATGATATCAACAAAGGCATTGTGATCCATCCGACATCTGGTATAGTTGACATAAATCCTCGATTTAAATTATAAACAGATAAACCATTCATATTGGCCAGTCAAGCTTAACAAGTGTTTTATGCCCATTACCCATCTCAAAATCCTTGTAGAAAAGGGTGGTTTGCTACATGTAAGATTAGAGATAGAGCAATAATTGACACTTCATCGTTGAGTGATGGTGGAAATGTTTATTATCAAGACGATGATCCTCCTATGCCACAATTGGTGCAACCCTTGACTGTTTTAAATGATCATGTTTCACTAGCATCTCAAGGGGGAGAAGAAGTGGTGATTAGTGAGGTCATGCAATTGCCATATGTGGCAGAGGAAGAATGTGTGGGTGAGGATGATAATGAAGAGGAAGAGTTTTATGGAACGGAAACATCGAAAGAAGAAATTCCAAATTACTTAACCGAGAGTGATAGTGACTAAATGTATTTTATTTGATTTTTTTACACTACAAGAAGATGTATCTATAGTGACGGAAGTTTTTTGTCAGTATACACCCTTTTTCCGTCAATATAGAACCCCAGGGACTATTCCAACGGAAGAGCTTTCCGTCGGTGCAAACCCTGTCACTATAGGGTATATACCGATGACTAATCCGTGGGTATAGACCCTGGGATCTATTCCGATGGAAAATTTGTCCATTGGTGTAGATCCTGAAAAATTTTAAAAGATTTTTCCGTTAGTATAGACCTTGACCTTTACAGATGGACAATTTCGTTGGTATAGACCCTAAAAAATTTTTAAAAATTTTACCATGGGTATAGACCTTTACCCTTACAAATGGATAATTCCGTTGGTATAGATCCTTTTTTTTTTTTTTTTACAATTGGTAATTCACTTTTATTCTATAATTTTCTCCTGCACTTATTCTTTTGCTGTATTGATAAAAACCTAACTCATTTTATTCATATATTGAGAACAAATCGTACTCTAACCCATTTTACAATACACAAAAATCTTTATAAAATAAATTTCTCATCAAACAATACCATTCATTCACTGCCCTTTTTATCCACTACAATATAATATGGAAATTCAAATAGGAAAATCCAACTGTAAACACAGAAAATAGTAACTATGTTAAACATACTTGGCACTTATCACCGTTCTTTAGCTCCTCTTCCAACTTTTCCATTGATACTGAAAGCCTCCCAAGTTCCCTAAGCTGATTTAAGACGAATATTCATATAAAGATCTAAAGCCTGTGAAGAATTTAATGGTAAAACAATTATTGCAAGAGAGAACTTTATATAACTAATAATGATCAACAAACCTCAACCAAGCTGCTACAAATTGAAGAACCCATCCAACATAAAAGGGATATCCACCCAAGTAGTTCATCACGTTCCTTGTTCTACAAAAAATAATAGTTTATTTTTTTTTCCAATTAACATTTCTTACAGAATCCAACCACAAGTTATATAAAATAAAATATTGATAAAGTAAACTTCATACCTTATAGATACTTGTTCTGCCGAGCCAAACAATTTGATTAAGAAATAAGAAAGTCAATAATAGTGCATTCTTTGACTGAAAGAAGAATTAATGAATTCATCACAAAAATAGAGTCAATTAAAAATCCAAAGGAGAACTATAGGAAAATGTTTCTCTATAGTACAATCATACCTTCCCCAGCAGAACAAGTGGAAGGGGAGTTCCTTGAGGAACTGGGCTAATAAGAGCATGCAAATCCTTGACAAACTGCAAATTAACATCGTAAAGCATAAATCAAGCAAGCTTCAAGATTTGTAAGAGTATAGATCAAAGAGCAGCATACCAGATTATAGATTGTTGTGAAAACCAGTGCTGTTGTTCCTAATGTGACACAAACATAGCTAAAAGTGTAGAGTTGTTTATTTAAAGGAATTGCTACAACAAGAAAAGGGAAAATTAGAGTAGATAAATATAAAAAACAGATCTTAGATAAAATCTTAGATAACAATGAACATAAGTTTTGACAGCTTAATTTTTCTCACCATGAGTGAAATGTAGAATGAGTCCTAAAACAAGGAAAAAAAGTCCCATGATGACCCAATCCTTCAATCTATTAGAATGACCCTGGAAGTGCAAATTTATCAAGGAAATGAAGCTTAAAGCTTGAAATGTTGACTTTGAACCAAGTAGCATAAAACTAACCTTCAAGTATATAAGCACATGCCCAAAATGTGCTCCAATAATTGTGGAAAGAAGGGAAGATATTGAACTGCAATCAACACATATTCATTCATTCATTATAATAATTGAATAAATATGAAGCATTAGCATGGAGCTTTTGCTCCTCCAAGATGCATTTAAAGTGAAAAGGATGCAGAAAAAAAAACCTTAGGATCCCTTCTAGTTCAAAGGGGGCATAACACCATGATGGAGCATCTTTTCTTAATGGACCCTCATATGGGGAATTCTCAATGCAGGCTTGCAGCACATCAAAGAAGATTAAAGGTTTCATATTGCTGACTTACAAATGTAGATGAGCGATAGATAGAATCATTACAAAACATACCTTAGATCTTCTCCATGTAGGATGTTGGTACATCTGATTGATTCCTAACACTGATCTGTCTATTAGTCCAACTGCATTACAAGGAGGATCGAGTTTTCCTCTCACTCTGCAGGTTACCTAAACGTGGTTACAAAATTAGAGAGATCAATAGGTTATCCATTATAGCATAATACCTTTGAAGACCACAATTGCAGAGAAGAATGATATAATCACTAAATAATGTTAAATCTCACAAAAGACTGTTTCTTATTTTTATCATTACAACTATCACTGAACTGCTAAACAGTTTATAATGTTTTTATATGTTTTATAACCATAACCCTGATGGTCCAAAGCTTTAATATCAAACAGATATATATATATATATATATAAACAAAGCACTGTCTGTCATATAAGGAGAAGTTAAAGGATCTGTAGCATAGTTTAAAGGCAAAGAGAGCTTATAGAGAAAACCTTCCCATAATCAGCACTATCCTTGTTATGGATAGTAAAATGCCAATCAGGAACATATATTCCATACATAAAAGCAGAGTAAACAATAAGTGAAAATACACCCATTGCCTTGCAAATTGAGATACAGAAGGTTATTAATAAACATTATACTTATAGGATGCAATTTTGAGTCTAAGACCAAGAAAAAGCCTATATGCACTAACCAATGCCAACAGTGACACTTGAATATAAAGAAGTGGCCATGTGAAAGAACCTTGCTTGCTCCATCTTTTAGAAAGATCTCCAAAATAGCCACCAACAAGTATGAGAAAGCTATTCTCTACCAAGAGTAAATTGATCGTTACTACATAGAATAAGCCTTAAAAAAAAAAAAAAAAAGGAACTAAATCATGCCATAAACACCAACAAAAAATAAATAAGTAAACTTACATGCAAAATTCCACCGAATCTTATCATTTTCATATCAACCCCATAAGTTAGTAATTCGTTAGGAGCATGAGAAAACCCCCCTTCACAACATAACTATGAAAAGTTAGGAGATTGATTCCAGAAATAGTTAATTTTAATACATTTCATTGTGAAATTTCTAATATCGATGAGAAAGAAAATGAAAGTAACCTTGTAACAAAAGGCCCAACAAGAAGAGCTTCAGAGTCATACAAATCACCTTCCTGAAAGCTTTGCATCGTCTTGATACCCTCTACATGAAAAATTAACCATAATAATGGCAATAAAAAAAATTAACAAATTAACTTAAAACTTCATCTAAAGCAGAACCAAAATTGAATAATGACCATTTTTCCTATTATATATCATTTTCATAAGGAAAATAAAACTTGGTAATGGGTATACTTATTAACTCTTCTTTCTACTTTTCATTTCATTCATTTTTTTCACAGAGAAAACAACCTTAAGAGCAAGTGGAATAGGCATGCCGACGATGAAGAGGAGTTACAAGGGTAAGCAAGAAGAGAATAAAAAATCATACCTGAAAACTTGCCCAAGGAAACAGAGATTTCAGCAATGGAATGACAAATTCTCTTCACCGCCGACACCTCCCAAGGAGCCAGAACTCGCGAACCTTTTTCTCCTCTCTCTGTCAGCTTCCTCTCCAAATCTCCCTTTTCTCACTGTTAACAACCTATTTATAGGGGGTAAGAGGATGCCCTAAACCTATGTCTGATCCTACACTCACAACCCTCCAATTTGCCTTCTTTAATCTCCATCGTCGGGTTGCACAAGCCAAAATTGACCTCCGACCATGACTTTTTTCTATGGGTAAAGGAAAGTACAGGGAGCGGGATCAAACAAGAGCTTTGAGTCTTCTTATGGTGGCCTTTCGGACGACCAAACGTCTAATTAAAATTTGGGTTTCTGAGTTTGAATGGGTTCGAATGATTTTTGGAGATTTGGCGAAGGAAGCTTGAAAATTAAAGAGGGAAAATGGGAAATCCATAGAGGGAAGTAAAAATGAAGCCCGTGACAAAGGAAAATAAAGTGTTTAAGAGATAGGGAACTATACAGACAGAACTGTAATCCGTTTGTAGATATACATTTATACAAACAAATAACGATTATCGTCAGAATAAATATACTCTATATAGACGGATAAATATAAATCGTTTGTATAAATCAACCCTATACAAACGGATATATTTTTTCGTTGGTATAGATTGATGTATACTGACTACTTAAGTTTTCCGTTGGTATATATGGGTATATACAGATGGACTTCCATCCGTTGGTATAGAGTTCTGTTAGTATAGGTCATTTTGTTTGTAGTGTTAATTAATTGAACAAGGGATGAAGGACTACTTATATTTTCTTTATTATGTGTTTCCGTTAATGACTTTTATATTTATATTCATATCAATATGTCTGCTATAATTCTTTATATTGATATTTATACTAAAGTTATATTTATATATTGTTATA